CTATAAACGCAGTTGGCTTTAGCTTGAGGAGGGAAGCTTAATTTAGACATATATTTTTTTAACGGATTTTGAAAGATCGTTAAATTACGACTGCAATAATATATATAACACTTAGATATTTATTTTATTTTCAGTTGATAAAAAATATTAAATTTGTAACATAAAAAAATTAAAGTTGAGTGAAATAAAATACTTGCACTTTATTTTATAATCAACTAGATGTGTTTCAAAAGTAATTATTTTAGCATAGTTTCGAACCGTCGTAAAACAGCGGTAGTTCCTTATTTCTCCCAACTTCCATTTTTTATGTTTATAAATTCTATTTTTTTGATGTGTCGATTTTTATTAGTTAGAGAATTTCCGTAACTATGCGACCGATTGTTGTCTAGGAACAATCAAACAGACAAATAAATTTTGTCTAATCACCCTGACCAATAATTTGATATCGTCATGTCAGCATTTTGCTTAGTAAATATTGTTTAACTTTTATAAAATAACATACTCCTGTGCTTGTGGTTTATAAATCTGCCTTGATCCTAATTACTATTAGTTTTAAAAAATATTTGCCACGGATATCACGTAATCGATACATATCTCGCCCATGTACGAAACAAGTAGGCCGTAGCGCGTGGGTTCGAATCCTATCCTCGTCGATATTTTTTTACTAAGACTAATTTGTTGAATGTTTGATTTCAGGTACGAGGAACGTTCTATCTAAATAACTTTAGGCTTTGTGTTTCAATGGTATAATACTTGGTGTGAATTTTACTGATAAAATATTTTTAAGAAACTTAAATTGCAGCCTCCTAATTGTAAAATTTTGAAACTTAATACAGTCCAATAACGCAAATTGCATCGAAGTAAGTGTTTAAAAGAATTTATTTTTTTTAATAGTGATATACCATTTTTTAAAAATGTTTTAATTTTTTTTTTTTAATAAGAAAATAGTGGCCAGTAAATATTCGAAAATAATGGAAACTAAAAAACTAAAAAATCTTGCAACCAGAAGCTGGATATGGATCTCGTATGAGAAGAATGTTTAAAAAATAGGAGAAAAACCAGAAGATTATACGAAGGGCATTTTCTAGAAAAACAAATTTCAAGTTACATGCATGTATCTCCTACGATTAGCAACCTATTTATTAAAAAAAAATCAGGATCTTTAAAAAACTGACCGATATGTTTAAAGAGGCGGCCACATATAATAAACCTGTTGGTGTTTTAAAAAGCATTAATAAAAAAAATTATTATTTATGGAAATTTGTCACCTGAGTTTGAAAAGCAAAATACATATCAAAAATGATATCATACGCGGGAAAACTAGCACAATATCAACGGTACAGTCATTTCGTGGACGTTTTATATCAGTCAATCGTTCCAAATTGAGAACTTCTATTTTTTTAAATATTTTAGATATTAGTGGAACAGGTAAACAGAGATGGCGTCAAACAAGTTACCACATATTATCAACTACTGCACCAGTGAAAAGTAACCAGTATTTAACTCACATCTACGACTCTGTTCTATTTGAAAAGAAAAAGTTGAGGTCACTGCCGAAAAAATTAGGTTATTTATACAGAGCTCTTCAGATTTTTAAAAAAATTATAAAATATAATTATGCGAATTATTCTTCATTTTTATAAGTAAGTTAAAATAAGTTAAAAAAATATTAAAGGTACATAATTATACAGTGTTAAAGTCAAAATAAAGAAGTATGATATGAGTATGTTTCAAGTGAATTTTTCCACTACAAAATTGCTGGTGATGACGCCATCAACATTTTAACAAGGACACGTATATCATTTGGAATAGGCGCTGGGTAATACTAATAACAAGGGTACTGTATTTTCCAAAATTTTCTGGAAAATGGGGTGAGTCGTCTTTGATCAATAAGATAAATTGCCTAAGCTATTAATTTTTTTAAGTCTCTGTATGAACAATTCTTAAAAATATAAATGCACTGATAGACCACAAGCATAGACTCAGAATATTTTGCATATTTTAGGAAGGACTTTCTGTAAAAGTTTTCTGATTATGCTGATATATAAAAATGATAAAAATTTTGGTGGAGGTGCCGGGATGCAGATCTTTTTTAATAATATACCTATCTGAAAAATCGTAAAAAATACATATTAAAAAAATTATGACAACTGTATACATTAGTCTGTTACGCTAATTTTTAGGACGAAACATGTTTACAACGATGAATGCATATTTTTAACATCCACTACTATTGTTGTGTTTCTTTATTAATTATGTATAAGTTCGTATTCAGCGTTAATAACAGCATGCACGTTGTGCAACGAGCGTAATTATTGGATTTCTCAAGCAATTGTTGCAATTTCAGTGAGTGAGAAGTGAATATTTCATGGAAGTTCCACGCTATACATTTCCTAGAGTAACATTTTGTTAGCTGCATTTCATTCATTTATAAGCGGCGGACATGCATCGTAATGGACAGATTACGTAATAATTATCCTAGGAAAACTAAATTTATTATATGATAACCATCATTTCTTAATTGAATAATTAATTTTTACATATATATGAAACTAACTACATAGATCGAATAAATTTTTGCAAGCACAAAATTTCCATTGTAAATCATTCATAAAAAAATCGGTTCACACTCCAGGAATATGTTATGTTATTTAATAAAACTTAAAAAATTAATTTAATTTCAATTCAAAAAGCAGTTCTACAAAGACGCGTTATATTATTACAAAGTTTCTCGATTAGTCTGATCATGTTGATTAAGACAGCTTAACTCCAAATAGTATAGGTCATTTCTCTGGCGATGAGTAAATCAATGATCAGTAATCCCAAGAAGCTTATGGCGACGGGGTGAGGTTAGAAAATATTAACGGACAAATCAATATGCCATAGTGCTAGAATCCCAAGCGTCTTTCCACTTAGTCGTCAGTCTCGCCATTGCATATCACAAACATTGCTTTATCATTATTTTAATACATAGGCATACATATTTTTCTTAAATAGATATATCGTTATGTAACATTATAGCTTAAACAATGTAATTAGCTACTTTATATACGGAGAATGTTTAGCTCAGCTAAACATTCTCTTCACTTTCATTCACTTGCACCTATAAAGATATTTTAAATTAGTAGTTACGGAAATATTTTGGGGAAATTAGTTAAAAATATTTGAAATTTGCAGAAGTATTGGATATTTAACTTAGCATTATACGTTTCAAGTTTTATTTCCAATAATTTATTAATAGTTTTTGCCTGAACGAATAGCGCGTCAGTGCGTTACTCTATCGGTAGATCTTTTCGACTCAGAATAGTGATTAATGTATTGATGCTTTTCCTGTTGGGAAAAGCCAAAAGCCTTTGTCGCCAAGGGAATTTAACAGGTTGAATGACTGTCAACGTCGGTATAAAATTTATAATTAAAATAGCAAAGTACAAAAATAAATGTGCATGTCTTTAGCGATCACTTTGTGAATTATTCTGTAAAATAAAATATAGCTATAACTCGATAAGCTTAAGAGACAATTTGTCGATGCAAATTATTTTTCGTATGCAAATTTCCAGTTCAGCACATTCGTTGGCCGTAAGCGAGCTGGCACTTGTAACTTTTTAAACGACTTAATATGTTTTCGCTGAGAAAAGGGAAATATTAACTAGTGTTTCGGAAAGTTTATAATATAATTGCAGGAAAAGAAACAAGAAACAATGTATAAAGGCGAGAAGTTGAAAAGATTGTACGAAGGTAAATGAAACCAAGCGAGCGAAAATGCTGGTGTGCTTAATAGGATTTTTAAAAGAAAATTGTGAATCGCTCGCGGCATTATTCAGTCGATTTTTTTCCTTCTCAAAGAGTGGTATTCCATTAGCTCAATCAATACGCCTTTGAATAAATGCCATGTTATAAAATTCTCCCGAGATATATATCTTTTCTTTCGATTGCTAAATATGATATATAGGAGGCGAAACGTAAGTAAGTTACCTTTCGGGCTAAAACGGCAGTTTATTTTTATCGTATAGTACCCCTGGGTATTTTCCGACGGAAAGGACAAGTGTCGCAGCTACGCATACGGAATTTTTCTTAGATTGGTTTATTAGATTTAAGAGACAGTGGAATTTAATCTTCTGATTCAGTTGCGCTGAATGAATTTCGCCAGTTCAAACATTTAAATCCGACGTAAGTTTAAGTTCATGCGGGCGAAAAAATTAAACGACTTTAAAATGAAATGAGGCTCGATAATAAATATCAATTACCGAGTTAGGATGGCGCACTTGGCGTGCCATCAATCTTTCTGTCATCTAGCCAAGTATAACGTACCTGAAAATATCGAAAGGTGATCCCCCGGCCATTTTTCCTAATTAAAAACTAATAGAGGGCGTTTCGAAATTATCGACGGACCGCCCTGCGCTCTTAAGGATGAGTAATAGATATGCAAAATTGCGTGGTCGTCCCCAACTGAAGAAAATTATTTGAATAACAAAGTGCGACCCACATTTGAATTCATTAGATATTTAAATTGGTGTGTATTCGATAACACCAGTAATGGTGTATTATTATGTATAAGTGGTGGCCCAAGCGATATGAAATCGTTACATTGGGGCAAAGGCGGAATTCTGCAAGTCAAATTCTCATTAGTGTGATTTAAAGAAATACGACATTTCCATTATTCGTGATGAATAAAAACTGGTCTACGAACAGGCCAGTAATGTAAATCAGAGAGGGAACAAGAGATAAAAAATTAAAAAATATCTATTTAACAAGCAAACTTTCTTTGATCAAATATATGCAAATTAGTGCGCCTCGTGTTTTGATCTCGCCCGAGCACAAAGTTCCGCGCTATTTGCAAACCAGTCACATTTTGCTCCCCTACTATGTGAAATGTTTAGCAAATTCACCTTTAATTACGAACCAGCTCCGACCACGTAAAATACTTATCTTCCTTCAAAGAAGATAACTCTATTACTCTCAGTGTAAGGGAAGGGGGATGTCGGGGAAAAATATCTACACTGTTAAATAAGAGTATGCAATTTATTGGACAATTGTTGTTAATAAGGAAATTTTACATTAACTGTCTTGAAACTACTAGTCTGGCGTATTTACATTACAAGCGATTAACAGAACGGTGAGTGAAATCAATGTTTTAATGCAGACTACTCAACAGTGATGGAAAACTACGCGTTCATTGCATACATTCATTTTTTATAAAAATATTGTAGTAAACAAATATCTATATGAGATAAAACATGTCACTTTGCGTAAAGGCATACAATTTAATCCTGAAACGTAATGAACGATAAAGAAGAGAAAACATAGGCAGAGTGCAAAAACTGAACGCAGCGCCATCACAATAAATATACAGGCGGCTGCCGGCAAGATTTGCACGTCTCCACTCGAAATCTATACAACAAAGCTGGAAATAAACGTAATATAAAAAGTACGTCACCTAAGAACATGAAAGGCATATTAGTATTTACATTAACATTGCAATAGTTGTTCTTATGTTAATGAATTGAAATGAGTACCGCATCGGTTATATTGACGTTGAAAGAAAGATGTTGTAAAGACAATCTTCTCGCCTCTTTTGATTTTAACAACTTTGTATAATTTTTATTGTGTATATTGTATATTGTCTTTAAGTGGGTGTTGTGTTTGGTAAATGAGCTGCATTGAGGAATCTATTCGAGAGAAATGTGTATTGTCCCCAAGCTTGTCACGCGTCGATCACCCCGATCCACCATGTGATAGAATAGTGATTTCGTACAAAATTGAATAAATTCATGGGTTTGCACAAAGCAAAACTGCCAATAATATTTTCAAGGCTTGATTAAGCAAGCATACAGTAGATAGTTTCAGATTCAATCAACAGTATAAAGTGACCAACTCTTTGATCAAAGACACCAAGACACTTTAGTTTGACTACATGAGTATTTATTTACACGAAATCGTAACAAACTTTGCACTTATTCGTCACTGAAGCATCTCAAAAACAAGCAGTTGATAAATTAACACAGTTGATCACCTTACAACAGCTAAAACATATATAGGCAGAGTAACTAACATACTAAATATGAGAGACCACCTCTTTTTCTTTTACTGTTGCAAACTATCTAATTTTGAGGCTCACAAGTATTTTAATCTTGATAGATGAAGTCGAGTGCCTGTGTTTGCCTAATTATCTATCATATTTAGAAGCATCTTGTTAGTTTCATAGTGCATTGTGCTCGCCTGTTACAGCAATTTATTATTGACAAACATACGTGTTTTAACTACTTCACGAGTCTGTTAGTCATTAGTCTTGTTAAATCATAACACAAATTTTGTACAATTTGCTTTTATTGTTTAACCAGCAATTTTCCATTTTAATGAGTCGAATCCCAACTAGTCAGTTGAATGTGCTTCATATCCAACATAGGAGACAAAAGAGAACGAAGATCCGCTGAAGAATTTGAAGTAATATATTTCTGTGTTAGAGGAGACTGCAGATGTCTGTGTTTGATTACTTCACGCTCCACAGGCAAGAGACACAATTCCTTAAAAAACAACCTTTACTTCAAGACCACCTTACAACCTACAACAATACCTGCAGAGATTTAACCGTATCTCAAGAGTCACTACTTCTACTTTTCCTTCCTGTGAGAGATCCTACGATAGACTTCAAAGCTGCGCCGATGCTTTTACCGGGGGTATGTAAATTCGAATTATTCCTTTCAAGACCTTGAGGATGAGCATCTAAACACTTTTGATATCTCAGCTGCAAAGATCGCCAAATCTTAGTCTCTGCGTGTCGATAAAATAACGACGACCTACCTTACAAGCAGCCTCGATAGTTTTACAAAGGGCTCCAGAAGAAGGTTCACAATAAAACACGTGTGCAACGAAAGTGTCCTGTGCTGTATGCATTACAAAAGCACAATGTTTAATGACTTTTCCTATACCTAAGAACGACAAATACCGTACGCGACATTCGGCTATCAGCCGATCATCCTGTAAAAATAACATATAGAATCGACATAGCCGAGAGGTGAACAACCTTACGCTTGGATTTTGGATCGAAATCATAGACGGAGCTACGGCTACATTAACACATTGCCATTGGTCTAATGGAATAGTTGCTACAAGCCTATCTATAGCCTCATTGAGAACGTCCATGCCTGTAGCTTGCGATACTTGCGTGGTGCCCAAATATTGAGCTCTAAGTACTTTTTTTGGTTCTTCCATCGGCGTTGGAAAGGACTGGGCTAAATCTTAATATTAATGTCGAATTTACAAAAGAAGAAAATTTTGCAACTTACTAACTAAAGACTGGCCGTTTCTGGTTAACCGTCGGTGCTCGGTTGGCAAATTTGTTGGCCTTGTGGCCAACGTCCGACCATTAATGTCGATAGGTTTGGCTAGATTCTGTTGCAAGCTTCTCTCTATCATTATCTTTTTACAAATGTCCCTCAACGTATTGGCAATGGTGCGAGCCGGCATATCGCAACGGAAAACATGACACATATGTTTCCTAGTACTCCTGTCTCTGGCGACATACGCAAAATCTCTGCAAAGTAAAATTACGAAAAAATAAGTCCTGTACGAGCAATTCGTGCACTTAAGTAAAAAATACCTTTCTCTAATCATCCGTTAGCGTTGACAGAAAAGTAAATAATTAGTTAACTACAAAATGAGATATATTTATAAATTACCTTCCGTTGTCGCGGCCCACTCCCCAAACCCTAATGGTATGTATAGGCTGAGTATTCAAAACAGTCAAATTTTCCGGATCAATAAGTTTTAAAGCTCCTTCGTCCAAATCCATGAACAAATCCTTCCCCTAAAAATTGATCACACACTAACTTAAACTTACGTCATATTCCTCAACTAACATCACCCCATCTACCGACAACATCCAAAAGATCGTTTTTCCCCACCGACAAATCAACAATACATTTATTTACAGCTTTACTACTTCTTTCTGGAGTTAAGTCTTCCTCGGCGATTTCCACCCACCCCAACGACCTAACCGCAAACCTGATCGGTCTCTCTCTAGCTTCCTGCTCCGGTTTCGACGGATAACTTCGCCTCCTACAAGAAACAGTTCATCCAAATTCCGTCGAACCTCTACACACGAACGTACTTAAAAGTCACGTCATTTTTCCTCTTGCGATCTTCTGCTTCCAAGTCCAAAGCCGAGCTAGTACTGCTCCTGGTAACCGAAGCGATACTGTTTTCGAAAGTCAACATAAGCATATCATTCTCTTTGTTGATGTTGTGTTTGCTGTCGTTCTTGTCTGATTTTTCGGATTCCGGCAAAACGGGAACTTCCCTCTGAATTGTTCCGCTCTTTATGTGCCAGTAATAAGGACCGTCGTTATCTGTATTAAAGTGGCGTTGATTGGCGCAAACACGCAATGTTTCTGTGTCTTACCTTCGTGTTTTTCCCAGCCGGGCGGTAAATCTGTATCATCGGCGCTCTCTTTGTCTGGCGAGTATATTTCAATTTCTTCTGAACATTTTTGATTCTTTTTCTTCACGGGGATGGCGTACAAATCATTGTTAAGTTGACCGGCTATGTGCGGCACGACTTTCTCCTGCTGATTGTCCTTGTTTTTCGCCGCCTTTTCGCTAATACTAAAATATATACGAATTTTAGTGCCGTCTCGAGCGAACGACACAATAAAGAAGCACTCTTCGAAAAGTCTTTTCGTTTGACATATGGGATGTGTTTTAGACTGAACAAAAGAGAGGACTGGGTTGAATTAGGTGTAGTCTTAATCAAGTTTTCGTTATTGTCTGACGTAAATGGTTAACAAAGCGTAAAAATAAACTGTAAATATGTAAACTAATGAAACTGTTTGATATGATGTGCTTAATGAATTTTGGCGAGTTTTTTTAATGCCAGTACGAGATGATGAAGCACAAAAATAAAGCTAAAGATGACTTAAACCTACTTATCTCGCGTGGTTCTAGACATTTCGCTGTTATCCATGAGGAACATTGCATTTCCATTTCGTTCATTACTCCTACAACAAACAAACTTGTCAATGATCTGGCGATTTCCTACAAAAATTTCTAGTTGTTCTACTTCTCGCTACAAACTGTAACAACAAAAACATATTTCTAATAAGTCGATTACAGATAAATATTTTTGTTGAACAAATGCACACCATATTAAAACACTTCATCGCCTTTTTTGCACCACCATCGAGTTCAATCTTCCTTGACATACACCCTGCGCACACATTGAACTCGATAGTAGTTTGATTAATGAAGTAAACACATCAACCCAAGTTCGAAAAAATTTTGATCCATCCCATCAATCAATGGCAAAAAGCGCGCTCTCTTGCAAAATAAAACTCCCGATGCTCCCAGCGTCATACCTTTTATTGTCATTGATGTTCGACGAACTTATGTGTGTTAATGGACCGCTTGTAATATCCACACCCATGGTTCCGATATCAAGAGAGGCGTAGGCTTTCCGACCGGAGCTTCCCAGCAAAGGGTCCTTAATACTGCGCCCGATATTGCAAATATCATCTAATTCCTGATAAATATCTTCGTAGATATTCGTATTAGAGTTTATAGCATCGTCGATGCGAGTGGGATCCAAGTGATAGTTTGGATTCTCGTAACTAAGAAGACCGTTTTCTGGAAAGCAGAAAGTTGGCGAAAATTTAACAAGGTTAGCATCATCGAGACGAGTGTCGACCTTCGGTAACGGTGTGGTTAACTCACCGAGAAATATATCCTCTTCTTCGTGCGCCGCATGAGCTGTGAGAGCTGCCATGCTCTGGACTAGAGTAAGCAATGACGAATACGGGCTACGGGAATCCGAAAGGCTCGCAAAATTTACGTATAAACCAAGAGGCGCTTTGTGGAACTCGCCACACAACATCCCCGAGCAGAACTACCATTCCTTTCTACCTAAAACAAAGCCGAAACCGTCGCGTTCAGATTTTTATCGTTACGTTGTTTTGATGGAGAGGAAAAAATAAAAGCTAGAAGGCTCGAAAATAACTATGAGCCGGTAGCACGACAATGGAGGTATAAAAGATAAAGTAAACATGACAGAGGATAACGCACGGAGTTTCAAGGTTGGCCTCATTGAAGTTTAATCAGAACCCTCAGGTAATCAAGAAGATTCATGAATTTCCTTAACATAAATAATAAGTTGGGACGAAAGGTCAAGGTGGATTGTTTTTTTGTTCAATTTTTAGTGACATTTTATGGAAGGTTTGAATTTACGGAGTATAATTAGTGAGTGGCCTTTATAAGGTACACTATGTTCACTTGTGAACTTTACAGCTCTAACTTCCTACACGATGACGATGTTGTCGGAATTAAAACTGATTTCGTAAATCAATATAGAGTCTAGTCAACTAGTCGCATCCTTGTTCTAGTGAGCAGCAAAAAACCCCAAGAATATTGAATTTCGTCCATCAACAAGTCAGAAGGAAAAAAGAGTCTGTAAATCCACAGGTCGTCTGGAAAAAAACTTATTATAGGTTATGGAGAGTTGCAGCTACAAATCCTGGAGGAATAGCGAGATGCAACGCATAGGAAAAATCAGTTCGTCTCTGTCCGACCTCTCTCGCACTCTATTTCCCATCAGCATTCACTCTCTGTGTGAGTAAGAATTCGAGTGTTCTTCATAATCCTCAAGTCTTCTTCCCTTCCTTACTCTGAATAATAAAAGGGCCAGTTCTTGGAAAATTTTTTCCACCTACTCGACGGCGATATTTCATTCAGAAGCACGGCACACAGCGACCCAAAGTAGAAATCGTGCGATTAATCGAAACACGCAGACAAATTTAGACGAAGGAGATCGATCAACGTCAGACAGGAAAAAACAAAAGTCTCGAAAGAGAAACAACGAATTGTTTTAACAATGAAACCAGATAAGTATCGGACAAAACCTTAATTAGGAATTTTTTAAAGCAATTATCCACAGTCTAACGAATCGCTTTCGTAATGAAAGCTATTCTGAACGAGTGTGAACGGTACTGGACTAATTGATATCGGGCCGCTATTTTCCCAAGACCTCTGCTATAGGGCCATATGTAGGACAACGGGGGTTGGAAAAAAGCACTCTTACCACATCCGCACCCTTGCACACAACTCCGCCGTGACAACCCTTGCTGCTGGCGTTAATTTTCACATAAATTTTAATTATGTTCAATACATGGACACAAACACATAGGAACTTGCGCGTGTCGCGACCACCTTACAGACTTAACGGGCGGAGTGAGGAAGTGGCGCTGTCGGTACGGAATATACTTGGTTTACCCCGCGCATCCCTTAGACTGTGCTATTGATTTTTCGATTGCCACCGGCCTCGAAGCTCGCCGAAATGGTACATAAAAATCTAGTACATTAACAATTGCTTTGTAATACACACAATAAGCCGGCTGCCACCTACTCCGCATTCCCGAAAAATCGTCACATTCAGATACATGCCCACCGACGCCGATACACCCCCGGGAAACCCCGCATTGATTCGTAACATTACGTGACTAATAATACCTACCCCAATGACAAGCCTCAAGGTCAGGACAAAAGGCGCCTCGGTAAACCTAATCACATAAAAAATACCTAGTTTTACCAATGCACACCTGATTACAATTTCGGGTGATAAAACTGTACCGCCGAACCCAATAACGGAGTGTAATGGTCTATTAGACGGTTACCTTAGCGAGGTTTCCGACGTAATAACGTTTTATTTCACACAAAAGCGACACCACATACTACTTAAAATAACCACTGTCGTTTCATTGCAATTCGCGAAGAGTTGCACTCTTATTAAACTCGCTAAAACAAAATAACAAGTCCATTGTGCAATAATTTGATGCGTCGAGACGTTTAAAATGCAAGGTGGATTCTCAGCATAAGGAACACGCCGTCTGGCCCCAATAACTACTGGACGCTGCACACAATGGCCATTTTTATAGAGATGCAACCGAGTGCGATTCATTTTATACCCACCACCACAATACTAAATTCCTGATCTCTGCAGGGTTACAATACAATGTATTTTCTTTGCACAAAACATATAAACATCAGCACATTTTAAACTCCCGTTCTAGAAAAGATCGATCCAGGTCCACAAAATTCAAACGGGTATAACGAGACTCTTAACACATGTAACGATTATTGGATAAATTTATGAATAACTAAATTAAGCATAAATGGAAAGTATGAAGAATGAAAGTTGGTAACAAATGCAGAATGTACACAAGGTGTTACCTAACACGTCACTCCTAATTTTAACTTCATGACACCACTTCTTCAAATTTTACAACTGATTATGCGAAATAACTCTTCAGTGCATGCTGTACAGAATATGGTCGTCTCATTAATGATTTTCACATGACAAAAGATTCAAAACGACAGTCATTAATCATTATTATACACATCAATCACTTTTCAATATTATTAATATCCCCCTTATTATGCAGAAAAAAAACACAAAATTTAGTTTTCAGCTTACCGAAGTTATTTAAATGTACAATAGCTGGCTGCAATAGCAATAATACCACTGAAATTCTGATTTTCTGTAAACTTTACCTTGTTGAATTTCAAGGTTTATATAAAAAAATTGATTTAGTGTGATACCGTGACGTACAGCACTTTAAAAATAGTCATCTGATGTTGTAAACTAAGAACAGTTAGTAACGCACAAACCCACAAGAACAAATACCTTAAAGAAATGTAGAAAACTTCCCTCGTCTCAGACACAACAAGTACTGAATGCAAGTCCCGGCGAAATAAATATTTACCGAACAATTTTTTCAGATGAGCATGTGCGAATTACGTAACAAAATTCAAAATGATATCATCAATTTTTTAAGGGGATGAGCAGGCAAAATTTGCTTTTTTCCATCTTTAAAAGTCCATCTTGCGCATTTCGGAGGTTAACTAACAAATTTTCCAAGAAACAGGTAACAACAGACAGACGAACTGATTTTTGTAGAAGATTAAAAAACATGAAATTAAGGAACTCGTCAAAATTACTCTATCACAACCCTTCCCCAACTTACCTTATGCTAAAAATACAAAAACAAATGGGCTAAACTAACTTAGACAAAACGTTCCTAGCACCTAAAACATCTTCAAACAAATCCAGTTTCTTAGATACATTATTATAGAAGCTGATTTTGCATATTTTTAATAGGAACGATAAAAATATAAGTGGAATAATACACCACAAGAATATACTACACATTTCCAATCATAGTTACTTAGCAAACTTTCAAGATAACGTCATCAAATTTTGGTTAGCAATCTACTGCTCCAATAATAATTTCAAAGCATGTACAAAATTTCGAACCACTGGTTTAATAATTTGTAGAACAAATTTTAAAATTGTGTTCTAAATTTGCACATACAAAGTTAAAAAGAGTACTTACGAGTAAAATAAGACAGAAGCATTTTCAAAGATACATATATGTATTTTATTAATTTTGATTTGTAGAATAGAACACTTGTTTCCAACATTTTAAGGAATGGACCGTTTTTAGAAAAATATTTAAAATTATTTCAGAGAATCAATGTGATTATACAATCTGAATTTTGTCCCAAACATCTAAGGTAAAAACCCAACACGGATTCATAAATCACAAGTATAGGAGTATGTTATTTTATAAAATTTACATTTATTTAAGAAAATTGTAAGATAACGTCATCAATTTTCGAGAGGTGAGAGCATAAAGAGAACTCAATCCAATGATTTTCTTTTCTTTTTTTTATAATCTAGATGTCTACGGTAAAAACTGAATGTGGATTAATAAACCACAAGTATTATGGTATGTTGCTTAATTAAATTTAAATAACTTTTATGCGGCAAAATTTTAAGATGACGTCATAATTTTTCAGGAGAAGGTAAACGGATCAACTCTGATTAACAACTCACTCGTTTTTGCAGTTTCAAAGTTAATTTACAAAATGCTATATAATTTTGATTTTTTTTTCCAAAAATTTGAATGTCTAGAGTAAAAACTCAACACTGATTCATAAACCACAAGTGCAGAAGTATGCTATTTTATAAAATTTAAATTACATTTACGATTATAAATTTTAAAAATCACGTCATCCCATCATTGGTGGGAATGATTGGATAAATTTTGGTTACCGTTTTACCATCTACGCGATATTCATAACATACATCTAAAATTTGGCGACAATCGGTCCAGTAGTTTCGGAGATTATCTAACAAAAATCTGGACGGACGGCAGACAGACAGGCAGAGGGAAACGGGATACATATTGCTTCGTACACTAGGGGTGATGATACGCCCAGAAAACATGTAACGAACTTTTCGTCGGGTGGACTCTATTACAATACTTCCTTAGCTTACCAGGGAAGTAAAAATGTCACAGGATAATACACATCTAAGCAAGAGTAGTGTCTATAACTAAAATCGCCAAAATAAAGAAAGAATATGATCTACCTACCTTATCCACTGAAACTTTTCGTTACCATCGCCTTTTCCCAAATATTTATTTAGTACCACCTCTAGTAGTCTCTCAGACCACTCTTCACGAACTAATGAAACATTATTATTACGATTATAGTTTACTGTTAAATTTTCTAGTAAAATTTTAATTGATTCAAATTTAAATAATTAACCACTAGAAGATTTTTAATAGATAGGTTTGATATATTTAAATATTTTCATAAATTATACAAAAACTTGCCAAGAATATAATCTTTTAAAAAGGCGAAACTGAACTTAAGCTTTCTTCCACATTTTGAAAAATTGACCAAAAATAATGTGAAGGTTTTTGCATCAGAACAACAAAAATAATATGATCCATATAACCACCATTGCAAACACTGTAACATTACGGTAGACACCCCTGAATTTTAACGAAACATTATCATTATACTTTTTTATATATTTCCCGAGCATGCATAAGTTAAGGAAATATTGTAACAGGGTTCATCCGGTGAATGGCTAATTTCATGTTTTCTCGACGTTTCTAGACTACTTACAGATTTGTATAATCATCCCCCCAACAATTGATGACGTCCCCTCATCATTTTCTAATTGATTTTGTACTTTGATTGCATGTATTGGGGTTAATCCTGTTAGAAACAAAGATTATTCTTTTATGAAGTAAATGTTACCTAAATTTTATAAAATAATATACTCTTGTACTCGTGGTTTATAAATCCGCCTTGAATTTTACCACAATGACTTTACAAACAATTTTCTGTGTTTCATGATATGCCTCCTCGGTCTAAAGAACTAGACCAATTATAAATTAAATGTATGTACTTACTATTTAAATTTCATAAATTTCCATGTGAATAAAAGTAAATGGACATGAATAAATTCCCAACAATGTTGTGGTTATTATGATTTAAAAAACTGGTTCGAATATTATCATTTACATTTAAAATCAATTTTTAACTCACCTTTCAACATTAAATAGTTCACTAGATAATCTTAGAACACAGACATAAAACACTAAACCAAAAAGAATCTAAGTAGTCCGCCAACATTCAGGGGTTGGCAGCGGTACAAGAGGCGTTACCTCTGTAACAATTTCGGCGCCGCTGTTGTATGCTACTTAACGTATGGGATTGTGAATTATTTGTTTCTCACTGTGCGCTTTTACGCTGATTAATAAACTACAAAAAAGGTATCCCTGCGAGAATTTCGGATGGGAATATTCCTGTATCATTTTGTTAAATAAGCAAAAAACTACTTCAAGCTTTCGAAAGGAGAGGTATATTTATTAATCTTTGCCTTTTGCAACCAACCCCTACTACCTCATTTATTTTAAACTAAATATAGAAAAGTATTTATACAATACAAGGGAAATGTTAAGAGAAAATGAATTACTAAGCAGTAGATTAAAACAAAGACATAAATCACGAAAACTGTAAGTGATAATAAGTTCACTTTTAACAACATTGTTGTAAATCGAGTAATTAAAAAATGCTTTCACTTGAACTGATTAGTCCATGTAGCTGATATCTCTCTCTAAGGAAGTAATTTCGCACATTAACTTTATTATTACTAGCTTCTATTAATTTTCTTTACGATAACCCCTATGCATAAACGAATATGTTACAATATGAAGTGCATACGAAATTTACTTAGCAAAATTTTGACATAACGTCATCATAGTTTTGGTGGGAACTAACACGCAAATTTTGGTTAATAAAGTGTGAAAGATCGAGAAACCATACAATTAGACATTAGTCAATGACGGTATCTCCCTAACTTACCCAAGGGAAGTAGAAAACAACTTCACATTTCATTTAGTAAATCGATACAGAAAATAATATAAAAAATTTAATTTATCGTCACTCTTGGTGTTCCATTTACCCGAAGTATCTTTACTTTATTTTGCGAAAGTTTTCTGGCGCAAGGAGTTTTCAACCTAGAATCTTGACCCCTGATTTGCAAGTCGTTAGGCGATCATTGATCTACAGTGCTGCGCATGAAAATATTTTGACTATTGTAAACTTATTCCCTAATGATTTATCACACAAATAGTGGCTGTAAATCACACTAAAGATTAATGGACTTAGCTATGTCAATACGTTAGAATTGAGAGAACTGTACACTACAAAATGACTTTTATTTATTTTCGAAATATCGCTAAATGTAAACCCTGAATAAACAGAGAACGCTTCGAGGCGTGCTCTGAATGTTCACTAAAATATTACCTGTATTTGTTTTGTCGCAATATGTACACGGCCATTCTTGACTTGGAAAGGCTAATCACAATTCCATAGTCAATCAATATTCGAAATGGTTAAGTTAAGAAATACGACTACATCATTTAAAAAGTTTGTCGAATGGAATACACTAAACGAGTTCAAGTACTAACATTGAATTACTCAAACATGGCGAGTTTTACGTCCTGTGTTGATCCATACTAAAACCAACATGAACCAATCAGTTTCTAGCACCGAGAAATAAATGTGTCGATAATAATATCCAATAAAAAGTTCTTATTGAATGGGTAAACAAAAGAAATGTTTGAACGTCGTTTCAATATTTTGTATCTAAGAGAGTGGAAAGGATCAGCAATATCTTAGAATGTCTTGAAATCTCATGAATTTTTTTTACAAACGGTTACAATCTATTGTGCTTTCAACGTTTGACGGTTTACAGCCAGTTCAATATGGAAATGCAATTTTTCCGCTTCCGTCTGCCTGTCTGTATCATGTCTGTTACAAACACTTTAAAGGAGTAAACTCAAAAACGAACGTAACAATGACTCCGTCATTTTAATTGTACTTTACGATTCAGTGTACGTATAAAAATAAAGTAGACGAATATAGTTTTTATATTCTACTAAAATATGTATTAAAAAGTAAAGCTGTTGTTTACAAAAAAATATCGACGACGTCATTAATATGACAGCACCAATAAATTTTCCAAATCGTTCTGGAAGTATTAGAATTATTTACTTGAACAATAAAAGCTCAAGTCATTTTCAGTTGAACTATAATAAAAGCAATCTAAATTTTGGTAGTTTTCCTACAATCTTCTATGTGCGGGCAATTCCTCGTACGTTGACTGTATAAATCAATAATTTCCAATTAATTAGGAAAAATTGAAATGTAACAAAATTGGAACCTCATATTCACAAATTTTATATTTTTAGAATACTTTAAACCGTTTAACGGACACCAAAAATACCGTAATGCATATAATATTTAAATACCCATTATGGTATGGTTTTGAAAACCTTTCACTTTACAGAGGATCCATATTCATCCATTGTAAAATGGAATGTGCATACAATAGAAAGCATTTAGAAAGATCCATACCTGATTTTTTGAATCTTTAAAGTGTAATGGGTCACTTGAACTTTTTAATGTGGAACCATGACCTCTTATTTGCAGGTCACAGCAAATCATTGATCACTTTAGAGAGGATTCTCTAATCGTTTATGTAAAATACTGAGCTTGCACACAATCATGTGAATTTAGAATAAAAATACCAATGTGACTTTAATGATAATAAAATTCTCATTTTGTAAAGAATTGTAAATTTATGTTCTTTTGTGTTAAAGTTGATACATTCCAATTCACACAACTTCTAACACTAACAATACAGACATTAATAAAAAACTAAAGATTTGGATGCATCTGGAAATTTGTAATTGGATCATACCTAAGAATTCATTTGAACAAGTTAACAATAATTTATTACTAAATTAGTGAGGCCAAATGTTAACGCAATCTATCTTTTTTGATCAAATAAACCGTAAAAGAACTTGAAAATAATTTCTAATAACTTAAAAAAAAGGAAAATGTAAAAAATTTATTGACTTACCTCCCCCTGTATAGAGGCGAGTGGTAGTATATTCGGTAACCTCCCATCAGTTTATTGACTGATTTAGCTTACACTTGAAAACTACAAATTTAACTGAATCAATATATAAAAAAGCCTAAAACACGATACTCACACTAATATCGAATTAGTTATTGGTGTTATTAACCTCTCAGCTGTTGAAAAGACTAAAGTCTGACGTTAAAACAGGGTCTAATGAATAGAAATGATGTTGTTGAAGTGTTGGTAGACATGATGGTATTGTCAACATTGCGCAAGAGCGGGAAGAATGGAGGTCAATCTTTTAAAATGATTCACTCTTCCAGTTAACTTTTTTTATTTTTTAACATATTCCGGATATCCGCGGATTATAACTAATTATATTAACATGGTAATTCAAAGTCGACGGTAAATCACTAAAAGAACTTAATATTACCACATAACAGCTATAATTGCTATTATTATGGCATGCTTTACATTCTTAAGCCATATTTTCTTTTTTTCAAGCCCAAAGTTACTAAACAATTTCGCAGAGGTTTATTTAAAGCTAAAAAAAAACGATATTAAATTGATTATTTTTGAGAACACTTAATTTCTTTATATTCTTTTATGTACAGCAAGTAGGTCATTTGAGACATTTAGAAAAGATTGGCCATATATTTTATTGCTTTGATGACACTGTTAACCAAGGGTGGTCACTGTTATTCAGTTGACCATAAACTAGTACTTTATATGACCATAAATATTATATTATAGACACAACATTCAAAGTGGCGATCAATATCAATAACACAGACGAAAGAAGTTGTGAAAAAATCCTTATGAAAACTCGTGCTCCATGGTAAAAAATATATTTCAGAAATCACAATTTATTACAAATTTACAGTAAAAATAAATTACAAAATTAATAATTACAAGGAATGAATCCATAAATCTTTCTACAAAATGAAGAAAAAAAAACTTTATAAAAGTTGGCAGTACAATACATTATCTTCAAAATTAAGTTACAACTTCCTCTAGCTATTTCTGTTGAGATTTGGTGCTGCGGCTGAAATAAGAATTTATTAACAATAGTATCAGGCAATTTCAGAAGGCAAAGGAGTGCAAATAAAAGCATAAAAGAGAGAAAACCTAATCCTCTTGATCTACTCGTACAATTACTTGGCTTTAGTTGGTTCTAACTCCAACTCAAAATCAAGAATTGGACAGGAAACTAAGATCTACGGAGAAGATCAGTACAGGTTTAGTTACAGTAAGTATAAAACAAAAATGAAACTAGCATTTGGAAATTCAAGGATGCAAACAGGGAAACAATGAGTTTCAACACCGAAATTGGCCACATAGAATACTAGTTAAAACTTATCACTGACCGGGGAACAACTTTAAAAATAAAATGTTTTGTACGTTCGCATTACCAACACTTTCGTGAATTTTATAATCTTGCAAGTGTATTAGTGAATTTGACTATATTTTCTGATTTAGAAATGTTATAATAGCAATTGGACTCATAAGTCGGCAATTTTACTTATCCGAAATTATATTTTAAAGAAATGGATCCATAATTCCCAACGCCCAATCTAAAATTATACCATTTCTACCTTCCAGGATAATGATTTGCATTAAGTGTCTAAGTGAACATCTCAACTTACCTAAGAATTAACCCTCATTTTTTAACAATAATAAACTGCGAAAACAACAGGTCTATTAATAAAGTTTCAAAGGTCCACTTACCAATGCTGTTAATATTTAAAAATAAACACAAAATGACTTGCTATTTTATGAGAACATCCAGATTTATTTAAAAAGGAAAGAAATAAGGACCCCGGAAAAAGCTACGTTTTAGTGTGACTAAATTAATTCTTTGTTTTTGCTTTTTGAGAAAATAGGATATTAAGAAAATGTAACCGTACGAATTCGATTATTTCAAACAAAATTTTAGTTATTGTAACGCTCTTAATAAAAAACATTTAAAGGGTAATAAATTCTGTTCCTTACAAACGTTACATTATTTTATATTTTTAAGAACAGGAAAATTTTACTGAAACACTATTGGTTATCCGTGAAATTACATAACCAAAGATTAATAATTGAATTTTTATTTGGCAACATGATTTAGAATTATTTTAGAATCTGCTGAACATGTTTCCAAAAATTTTAAACATTATTAGCAACCATAAATAAGCAAAACTTTTTTAATTTAACGAACTTCGTAACTATCTGTTCATGAAATCTCCATACTGGAAAACAAAATATGGCACTACAGAAAATAAATATTCGGAACAACTATTTCTCTATCCCTGTTACCCAGAATTGGTATAAACTAACTGAGGAAATTATAGACGAAAGTTTTATTTTAAATTCTGGTAAAAAAATAATTAAATACAAAAGACTGCAACAGCTCCATGGAACTCTAGCCAATATCAAATTAGTAATATTCATTGCATCATATAATAATGGCTGCTAGACTTCAATCCAAATTACTTGTTATATAATCAAAAACATTAATAAAATGAATTAACATTTCTATAATACCCCTGGTGTTTCAAGTTTTATTTAATATCTGTTTATTACTGAAAATGTGAGGCAAAACCAAATTTAATGGCATGCTGGAGAGCTCGTTGTTCTTCAGTTACCACTTCAACTATTTTTTTTATTTTTAAATAAAACAATAATTTCGGTAAATAAAAATACTTGGCACTCTTTTTATCTCTCATGACATAAGTGATTGATAAAACTTTTCAATATCCTGTTGTACACTATTCAACTTGTCATTAAGCTTGATTTTAACCACTAGTTAAAATGTAAGTTATTCAATAATTTTTTCACGCGGATAAATTATTATATTTACAAAAACAAAAACAACACCATTACCAACAGTTAACTAGCAATTAATGTGGCAATTTCCTATTTATTCCAGAGTTTTCCCATTAAAACTATATACAATTTTTTTTTTTTTTAGAGTTAGCCACACTTGATGTTACTGTTACGCTACTATCACCATCATTTCACATTCTCAAAGCTATTAAATCAGGCACATATACTTTTAACTACAGAAAATAAATTCAAACAACTGTAACACAACTTATTTGTGCCTGATCCAGATCAACACCAAATCAATTAAATATTTGCACACCTCATACCTTCTTTTGACAATCCATACTGAGTGAGTATATTAGCAAACAACATATCATCCAATATGTTATAAGTACCTGATGGACAAAAACAGTAATGACATAAAAAAAGAAAAGACGTCACAATACAATTAAGTTTACCTGATTGTTGCGCAGAAGTGCTACTTTTGTGACCATTGGAATTCTGTGTATAATTATTATTAGAATTCTAAAAAAGAGAAATTAATCGCGCAAATAACGAGTGTGTTCATAAATAAATGAAGCACCTAATTGTAACTAATCAAAAATTTACCTGAAAATACTTATCACCAGATCCCACAGTCGACCCGCTGCTGATGTGCGGATACCTACTAACACTACAAAAGTTAAAAAAATAAATCTCAAAAAATACAAATCCAATAGACCTATTGTAGTTCTTGTTGGAACCTTGTTGGTAGTGGTTGAGGCAACTAAACAACTGTTTCTGAAATTCGTCCTGGAACGACGTATTGTATTCAGTTTTGTTGTAGTCGTATCTCTGCATAGTACTACTGGATTCACTATGGACCGATTTAGGCGCGAAACTTTTGTTAACGGCTATCACCGAAACGGCGGAACTCGTGGGCGAAGGATCGACGCACTTTTTCGGTGAAGACATCTTCTGAAGATTTTTCAAGTTTTCCATGACCTTTTGGATATCATCGCTCGCTTTTGATTTGGGGGGTTCGACTTTCGGATAACTCGGTGTAATACTCAAGTCGTGATGTTTCGCCACGTGGCTCATTTGCTCGGGCATCATCGGGCTGATTGTTTTCTCCCTTTTAGGGTGTGTCTTCTGCTCAGGCTTCACTTTAAAGTCATTTTTGTCAGATAAGTCTATCACTTGGCAGTAGTTATCGTCACTTTTCGCGTGAAATTTGTCTTTATTTGGACTAAACCGATCGTTTCTAGCCGTACCGTCTAAAATAATTACACTATCGTCACTAATTAAACTGATTGGTGAGTCTTTCTTGTTCACGTGGTTGCTCACTGGAGGTTTAAGGAGTTCACTGGGGGATTTCACTTTTAGTTTAACTTCCACTTCCTTTTTTGGCGATGCCGGACTAATATCACATGGTTGCGACGTTTCTGGCAGTGACTTCAGTGATAAATTTATACTAGTTTCATTACAAGTTTTACTAACACTCACTTCGTTTGTTACACTATGAACTTTATTACTATTACTGTCACTTTTTGCAGCGGCCACTATAGGTGTTATCGACAAGTTGCTATTATTAAAGCTTTGTGGAAGATTCTTCACAGTTGTAGTAGTAGTAGAGGTTGAAGTTGCACTCTTGGGCTGTGAAGTGACAGGAGCAGCTGTAGTAGAACCATTACTGAGAATTCTTTTCGGGTCGGCGTACATAGTGTAGATCTTGTTTAGGGCATTCATAGACATCCAACCTTCTGGCCATAACACTTGAATTTCCGTTTTGAGGAATGTGGTCATCTGAGTGTCCAAAACATCTTTGCTCTTCCCTTCCAGCAGGAGGCAGCGTTTCTTTAACATCAGAATATCCTTCAATTGTTTCCTAAAACAAACCAAAGTCACACAATATCGAAACAAGCTTTGACAACTTACTTTGTTACGTCGTTCCATTGGAAGCGCCGCTTAGGCATCCTTAAACACTTATTTTCTTCATTTTCAACACTCTCTTGTGAAAACCTGTTAAGATCACATAATTAGAATAACGTAAGTTAAAGTAGACTTACACTTACTTCTTTTGCAGGATACGTTGACTTTCTTTCTCGTAACTTTCTAGCAAACTCGGCATAATTTTATTGATTTCTGATTGTAAACTATAAAACAAAATTATTAGACATGGTGGTACCTCAACATAACCTCTTACCCTGATAATAGAGATTTTAGTTTCTTTTGTTCGTCATCTAATACTAGAGTTTTTGCACGTCTTATCAAAGTTTCAGTCTTGCACTTCAATAAGACTGATAAATGTTCATAAACTTTCATTTTTGAAGGTTTACCAAGACATTTAGATTTTCGTTCCAATCTGTAAAAAAATAGAACACATAAGAATTACAATTATTTTTGTTATTTAATGTACAATTATGAATAGTGGAATATTTTAAAGGATGATGGACAAGTGCTAGCAGTAGTTTATCAGTTTTTGTTGCGCAATAATTGCTTTTCATTTCCAAGAATTCACAGAAAACAATTACCAACTGACGACGAACAAACGGAACACTAATTAGTAATAGTAATAACCGTTATTGCAACTTTTATAAAGAGAAAAAATTACAATTAATATAAGAGTCACCATTTTGATAGTTTTATCACAAAAAAGTGAGGGAAAGTGAAGTACAAAAACCCACTTTCAAGCAGTCTCTGAAACTCAGGAACCAGTTTGTTTCATCTACAATGGATGAAATGAAGAATTTATGACTCAAAGTAAAATAACAATTCACAAGAATTATTTATCTTACTAAAAAAGAAACTTACTCAATGTCAATTTATGTTCTTTCCATTGTTAAACATTTGTTTCGGTGAGCTTCATATGTGCACTATCAAGTAGGTTGAAATATTTATGGAGCCACCACAGCTCATAACTCAGCACTACATAAACTACTTTATAGCTGGTGTAATAAATCTTTTAAAAATTTATCAAATACGGGAAGTATATAATTGTTAAAGCAACACCACTTTTCACTGTATTTCAACTTACCTTAAAATAAGTAAATTAATTTCCGACGTAAAGCTATTTTTCCCATCTAGGTTACTATGTTCAGCAGCATTCTTAATCGCCGTAATTACACTTAAAATATCGCCAGATAAATTTTCAGGTAACTTCACTTCTATTTTTGTCGCATTTGTTGCGTTATCGTGACTAGATTCTCCATCAGAAGATGAATGAACTAAAAAAATGATTAAATCAAATCTACACTTGACATGCGAAACGAGAACTTACCAACAACCTTAGTTGTACTACTTTCAACTGGTTTGGAATCTTCAGTTGACGCTTTAACAACAGATTCTATTACATCAGTGACGCTTGATATGGACATCGTTTTCTTTTCTTTTCCTTCTTCATTGACGGTGGAGTTATTGAGCTCTTCCGGAACGGACATATTCAGATCTTCCCGCTTTTCCCTTAACAATTCCTTGACTGTTTTCTTCTGAGGATCCAACAACCGCCTCTTCTTGATGTAGATCTTGTTCTGACCAAGTAACTTCTTCTTGAGGGATTGCTGCATTCCATTGCCACCATTTTGCAACTTCCGCTTCTATCAAACCCAAATTTGTATAAGTTTAAAGTATCATGAAATTACACACAAAACTTACCTTCTCGAAATTATTTGCATTATCTACAGTCTCAGTCTTGTTTTCTCTGTCAGTCTCGTCGGATGATTCAATGACTCTCTGAAAAAATAAAAATAAAATCAAACCAAAAAATTAAATTAGAAACTACCTTTCGACTAGTTGTTTTCGGCGAGTTTTCGTCATCCTCTGAAGAACTTGAAGATAAATCAGAATCTGCTTCATCATCAGTTTTAAATTCTAGAGCTCCACTGTTGATGTAAAAACCTCCATGCAACGTTGTTACATTTTGAGGTATCATTTCGTCATAGCCGTCCGTATTATCGATGAATGAATCAGATTCATCATACCCCATACCGATATCGGCGTAATCATCTTTTTTGCCCTTTCGTTTCTTCTTGTTTAAGGAAGTACCAGTTCCCTGATATTAATTCAATATGAGTTATCAAAAATTTGCAGTTGTTTCTAGGCTTACATATTTTTCTTCCATCTGACGGGCAATCCTCTTAACGTCATCGTCATCCGCGAATTCATCTACTCGGTTTAAACCATTTAGGGCACCTCCTCCCGTTTCCTTGTATCTTCCCAATTTCTACGAAGAGGAAGGTTTTAAGAATTAAACAATCTTTACCAAATGAACGTTTAAAATTATCAACTAGGCAATGATTCAATCTTGACGCCAACTCAAAGAAGAGTTCACTTAAAATTTTCGAAGTGGATTATAACTTGAGATAGATAGGAGTTAGGGCACTATTTCTTCATGGACAATTCAGATTTTCTATATGGGTTAATGGCGATCGTGGGCGGCATGGAGAAGGCCAAGAGAAAGATTCCTTCGGTATGCACTCACTTCAAGCACAAATGCCATTTATAGAAATAAAAAAAACCTTTTATTATTCCTCAACTTTAGAACGAAGTGTAATAAAGCCAACAATAGAACAATCTAGTATTTTCATATTTCATATAAAACAATGACTGCCGTATCAAGTTACACATACACCGGCGTAAAATTAAAGCGGCAAATTACCCCACACAAAGACAATTAAACTCAACGTAAACTGCAATGTTTATTTATATAACAAATACTATTGCTCATTGTAGCAATTCCTCAATGGTGACTGACATTTTATTGTTACGATTTGTTGATTTATTAAACTGCAGGTCGTTTCGTACTAAATCATTGGCCGTGACCACCTATGGTTTGACGGCAGCAGGTGCTGACTTTTTTTACTTATAACCGGGATAAACTAATAATAACCTTATTATATAACACATGTCACAAACTGAAGCAAGCTGTAACGGTCATTAATTACTGTTAACTATGCTTATTAACATTTACTTTGTGGGTAATGCTATTTCATTAAGAATTTTAGCGGTTTTAATGACAAACAAATATCGGCTACGAAGCAAGCTATATTTATGGTACACATGTTTTTTCGCCACCCTCTGCCTGGCCAACTTTCACACACAAAAACACCAAATTTGGAAGGAAGTATGCAGGTAAAATGTTATTCGAAATACCATGTGACGTCAGAAGATACATGATGATGCTGACATCACCTCAAACAGTTTTATAAAATAACATACTCGTGTACTTATGGGTTATGAATCCACCTTTATTTTTTACCCCAGGCATCCATAGTGATATAAAAGAAAAATTGAACAGTCGGTTACTGGCTTAGTTGGTTGGAAGTGTTGGAACGTCATGCCAACAACGCAGAGATCACGGGTTTGACCCCTTCATGCGCCATTTGTTTTTCTTACAATGTGACTGTTATTATCTACATTTTTTTCTCAAAAAAAAAAAAATACTGAATCACATGTATGCACTAATACAATGAATTCTAATGTAATGGTCCTAACATATTTGTACCATTTAAAAATTTGGAGCTAATGTACTTTATGCAGTCACAGTATAGACCAAGTCAAGTCCTACTTTTTGAAGTTACCATATAGTATTTTATTTATGCTATATACTACCTATTTATAACACATTATTAATTTTGTTCACCATTTATAATTTTTAGTTGACCTCGATTAATCAACCAAAGTGTACTAAAACTCCTTACTTAAAGCTATTATTTATTCCTTCATAGGTATTTTACAACTACTGCTGCAAATTCATTTTTTACTGATAAGTAAAATATATTTTGAAATTTTTATCGTTTGCTACTCTTTATATAATTTTGACACACATCAAACACAACGGAAATAATATTTTATGTAACACGATTGATACCTTTTTGTCTACTTTCATAGTTTGCTAAAAACTTATTTAAATCTCGATCATCAACTGAAACATCTGACGATTAATCCATAAATATTATCACAACAATGATTTCGATCAAAATGTGTAAATGAAATAGAAATGCACAAAAACCTAGATCGACCATGGTCTACTTAAAAACAAATATAGAAAAAAAAAAGTGAAAGGTTAATTTAAAGGTGTCTAGAAATACGCTCAATCCCAACTGTGAACGTCAAAAATGTAAAATTTAATGAATTTAACGCATGATTTACACTTTTAGTGTTTTGACGTTATCGCACGAAATTCAAGCATACATATACGTTATCGGTCTGATCATATTTTGCTTATAAATTTAAATAGCGAACTAGTCGCACTAGTGAAAGTTTTGAAGAAAAATAAAAGCTGTTGATTTTACATTTACTTAACACACAGTTGCTGTAATTTGTTGTAATCGCAAGAACAAAATTCTAAAAATGAATATTTGGGAAAATGTTTTCTGTAAGATATTTCGTCTAGACTGCAGAATCGTCAATAAAAATTTAAAAAAATTAAAATATTTAGTGTTAGACTAAAATTATAAGTTTGAAAAACGTGTTTTTAAGAATGATGAAATCGAGGACACTTGGTTAAAAACCATAACAGTGAATTAAAAATAAATTAAAACCGAGCTACTGGTTTATTTTTAACAACGACATTTCCCTTCCTGGCGTTAATTACGCACAACTCTTTTAAATGCTGAAAACGTGCACGCAGTATACATTTTATCTATCAACAATGTGTATTTTTTACAGATTTCAGCATTTTCCAATTTTATTGACAACTCAGTGTCGCTTGAACCGTCACGTGCCCGCTTTTTTCAAACATAATTTCATTTTGTTCGTAACACGACATGTATTCGTAATTTTATAGTGGTCCGGCAATTTTGTAGAGCAGTATAATAATGAAGACCGTGGCTGTCGCTTTGCGAGACGTGAGGACTGCGCTTTATATTCCGAACCAACAACTCAGGGCTGGAATTTTTAAATTCATTAGCAACACTGTTAAAGCTACTCCAAAAAGAGACTTGGTCAGTTACTAATCATTATGCTTGGTCCGATCTAATTTTACTTCGTAAGTTGTTACGCAGAAGTATTTTAATTAATCACTCTTTCATTTGAATGGCATCGAATTAAAATTATTTCGTAGAAAATAAATCCACTTAACGAAAATTCAATTATGGAATTTCAGCAGATTCATAAAAAAATATTTTCCTTTTCACTACAAGCAAACATCTCATACATCTGGAGAATTATAAAAATCTTCAAAAGCACTTTTGTTAATGTCGTTGCTACTTAGGACTAAAAAATGTAATTTGCAAGTCGGTATTACAAAAGTTAAAGCAGTTTTTACGTTTCAACAAATATATACATTGTGTGAAGCATCAAACGAGACAGATTTCTCGCAAACAAAAGAAAATAATGTTTGAAGTATAACGTGCATCTGTTAATTATGGCTATATAGTCACGCAGAATTTTATGCAATAATGGCAGATAAAACTGTTCGGGATGGCTCATTAAATCTACCGCATTGCTTTCTATAAAGACACCAATATACAACGAACTGCACAATAGCGAAAGCAATTTATTAAAAAAAAAATGGAAAAAAGTATCGCTGCGTTGGCTCGCAATTGCCACACCGTCAGTTTAAAACTCGTACAAATTTAAAAAGCACTAACAGGAAAAATTTATTATTATCAAATTTTGGTAAATTCAAAAATCTTTTCATTTCAAGGTTCTCACAATTTACTTACATTGTATACCTTTCTAACTATCGTTTTTGTTTTTATCATGTCATGTTTTTACAATAAAGTGGATTCAACAAATCACGTGTAAGTAATTAAGTACTTATCTGCATTATGTTTATGTATATTAGGGTGATTCAAAAAAAAAAAAATTTTTTTTTTCGTGCAAAGAGGTTCAAAAGTTTCTTTTCAACGTAAAAAAATACCAGTTAAAATTTGAGCTCTTAATATTAATATTAAGACCGTCCGCATCGCGTTTTTCTATTTCCCATAAGAATAACATGGGAAAATTTTTGTTTGCACCTTCTGATTTTTATTGCTAGCCCGTCGTGTGTCGTGAAAAAAATTCAATCACATATTTTTATAGAGAATTGAACGCTCTACAAAAAGTGTCTCCTATGATTGTGCGAGAAACCTGATAGTTGAAGAGTTATTTTAGGCTAAAATTAAATTTATCCAAATTTTGACGTTTTTGATGCATTACAATAAATTTGATGGTCTTATTGGAATAAATCACCACAAAAATTTATACACATTTTAAATTTAGTTTTTTAAACAGTAATTATTTATAATTTTATGCTATAATAAGGCCAGTAAAACTCTTTCCGAACATTTTCAGCATCAGTGGGTTAAAAAATCATAGTCAGGTTTCTCGCAAAATCATAGGAGACACTTTTTGTAGAGCGTTCAATTCTCTATAAAAATATGTGATTGAATTTTTTTCACGACACACGACGGGCTAGCAATAAAAATCAGAAGGTGCAAACAAAAATTTTCCCATGTTATTCTTATGGGAAATAGAAAAACGCGATGCGGACGGTCTTAATATTAATATTAAGAGCTCAACTTTTAACTGGTATTTTTTTACGTTGAAAAGAAACTTTTGAACCTCTTTGACACGAAAAAAAAATTATTTTTTTTTTTGAATCACCCTAATGTATATAGAGTGATTAATAAAATACGTATTTAATCATGAGGTGACCTATTTTGTTGAGTTGGAGCTATTCAAAATATTTTGGTAAAAGTCCATACTACTACGACTACGACTCTCATAATTATTATGTCGTGTCTGCTTCAACGGGTTCTTGCAATGCTGACAAAAAATATATACACCTACTGTATTAATAACTCGGTATACCATAGGAAACGGTTTATTAAAATCTAACTGTTAACAACAAATTATTTGCAATTACTTTTATATTAATTTTATAATTCTACTTGTCGGTTCAAAGTTCAAATGCATTGTTTAAAATGTCGGATTATGTATAATACGAATGATCATTTGCGAATTTTTCAACTGTTCTTAATTCTGTTTTGTCTATAGCTTCCATAGACCAGATCCAGTCCATATGGAAACATATTGTAAGTAACGTATAAACCGTTTAGACACGTTACAGCTGTCCAAAAAAAGTGTTATTGTGATCAACGCTTTGTTCATAATCGGCTACACTTATTAAAATAAAACTGCAACATAAAGCTTTGGAGTTTGTCATCCGAACGAAGTGTAAATGTACACCGTTTAGTCACAATTATTGTTTTCTCAATTCAGTTAATTGTAATTATATTTATATTTCCAATACCTAAAATTCTAGTTTCAACGTAACGCTTCTAATTCGAAACTAAACGGCGTGTTAGAATTATCACACGATTATTGGGCTTACGCAAGGCAGCTGTTAGAATCTGAGAACTTAACATAACCTAATTGGCAAATTTACGCAATGGCAATCATTCACCCTATATTCAAGTGAAATCAGATATAGGTTCTTACTTTTTTATTGTCGGCAACGATCAAATTCACATAACCATATAGTTTTTAAATGTCATAAATTTAACGCATGGCTGTCCACCAATCCAGGAAATGATTTTATAAATATTTAACTTCATTTTTGCGTGATTTAACCTCAAGTTCAACATGCCGCGAAATTGATGTGGAATAAAATTTAACCATTACATTATGGGAGCACAATATGAAGATAATGATGCTTTGAAAAGTGTTACACCGCCAAAATTTAGAAACTTTTTCGTGTCTCCTATGAAACAATGATTTTAGAATATGGAAAATGTTACAGGTTGAATGAATGAAACATATTTTCTTTTAAAGAGAAGCTCTGGTATTTCTTTCATTAATGATTTTGCCGCCTCGTTGTTACAGTGGAGCACATTTATAGGCACATCAAAGCTGCCTTTGATATAGCTGCTTTCAAAATAAGAGAGTAAAACTACCTGGAAAACTGACCTGACTTTTAGGAATGATTGACAGCTTGTACCAGGTATAATGGATTAAGCTTATGGCCCTATTATGATATCCTAAAAGTGAAGTTCGTTTTTCAGGTAGTTTTACTCTCTTATTTTGAAAGCAGCTATACCAGAATCATTTATAGATACGTTGTAGAGGGAGGGCTTCCATGTACTTAATTAATATGGTTAATACATATATCCACTGCCATAATCTCATAATAATGATGACATTTGAACTTTCGTTGCTCTTATAGTAACACACTTGGAAAGAGGCGGAACAAATCAGTGCTCACTTGGATCATTTGTGACGCCCTATATAAGACATGTGTGGTAATTTTTCTGTTAGTGTTATGTTTTGGTGTGTGGCAACGCTATATACACATACAGCTTTATTTGTATACGCATGTCAATAGAACTAACAGATGGGAAGTCCAAAAACTATATCACGCTATCCACACAAAAACATGAAATGGATCTAAATGAAAAAGACTCCCCAGTATGTATTAATAATTTAGAAGCATCATGTATTCAAAATCATGAAAATGTGGTAGACATACATAAATCGATATTTTACCAAATACTTTCCACGACAGACGAGGACATTTCTTTCATTTTAAATGTCTGGGTTATCGTATGAACACAGCATACGGTGCGGAAACAAAAATAAATAAACTAATAAATGGAAACACGTCATAGCTAAATATTAAAAAACCAAATCACTGTGTGAAAATAGTGAGTAAATTCCGGTAAACAATTATTATCAATTTAATCTGAATCCAGTCCTGGGTTTGAGACCCCACCACAATTTCCGTTTCGCACACTGCTCAACAGCGAAATATTAATAAACAATATGCGCGCGATTACGGAAAGTAAAACCGACAACAAAATACGGCAACATCAAACAGTCCAACCGAATCTCCAAAGTTCCATAAGCATGAATGAAACTCCTTAGGCAGAAGAGTCATAAGGACGAAAATCGCGCCGACAGACTCTGCGCGCTTCAACCAACACAACCGTTGTTATTGAGATCTTCTCCACTTTCTGTGCTCCTGATATTTGCGCGCGATATTCCTGATAGTTTTTAACTTTTGTTATTGAAATATTAATTCATTTGTTTATAAATTGATTTTTATTTAAAGTATTCGCATCTTTCACTTGCAAAACGTAGAAATTGCGTGAGAAATGAGCGATTGTTTTTGCACAATTTAATCGCTCTTCGGCGTCGAATGATAAGTGCTCACAATGGTGTTTATAAATAGGTGGGTGTCCAACCGCACGAACTAAAAATATTGGGAAAACGATGCAGTTTGTTATTAATGTTGGTCATAATGGTCATAATAGCCTTGGTCAAAGGCTGCCCAAGTTAATGCGCGAATTCGTGCAAAGATCACGGGAGGCTGCGGCTGCATTACCAGATTGAGGAATGGCAAGCAAGAAAAAAGCCGATAAATAAAACCGGGACACGGCTGCCAACATTCTTAAATGAAAAACGTCAATTACATGCCGAACAAATGAAAGTCGAGGTGTTGCAACGCGAAGGCGACTTAGTTCCATCGGTATTGCAACTGGGCGAAGCGAAATGGGGCTATTGGGAATCGCGGGAGCGCGTTGTCCTAGGCCTGGCCTGGTCGCATCGATCTAGGTCTGGGAGGCGGCAGGCGCGCCCCAGGGGGCCGCAAAACTCCTAGTCCGGCCCCGGCCAGCGAGTCCTTTTTTTCGTAATGCATACCCTTCAAATATGGCGACGCGAATGTAGCTACATAATTAAGGAGTCTGGGGCTGTGCCCTGGCGGCTCGGCCGGCGCCCCACGTGGGGAGGGACCCGCGTCTGACGCGTGTGACAGCGCCAAGACGGGCCGCTTCCTGGCTTGAGGTTAGGAGGCTTCGTAGGCATTTTCTGTTTGTTACCTTTGCACCAGCAAGTTCATCTTTATAGTTGTATTCCGGGCATGTGTCTTCGGTGGACTCTGGCAGGACGACCGAGATGCGGATGGTTTTGCGGGGCTCCTTCGATGACTTGTCCGACTCTTTTTGGGATCCTAATGGGATTAACTGGGCACGTTTTATTTCTGACATTATTTCATAAGAACCAACTGTTCAATATCACAACACATTACGATTTCGCTCCAACATGTTTGAACCACACTACCTCAAACAAACTACGAATGCCAGTTGTCACATGCGTGCGCACGCCACTGCGCACTGTTTGACAGATAACATATGATGCAGGGATTTTTCTGGGAAGTGTGTGTCTGCGATGGAACATTTTATAAAGTTGCCAGAACTTGCATTACAGATGACACTAGCTACGCAATTTCGGGTTGACAGCGCGGATTTGAACCTTTTCAAATTAGAACCATTCAAAGTAAATAAAATATGAAACATCAAAAATACATTTGTCCAACATCCCCCAACAAATCTTTTTAACTGATTAATTTTAAACATAACGTGTGTTCAGCTGAAAAAGTCTTCAAGTAAGAAAACGTAGCGAAAAACACATATCTTTTATTAATTCATGTTGTGTACACTGTGCAGTAAATTTTCGATTTCTCGGTAGTTAATTTATTTCGTAAAGTTGAATGTACTAAAGACTAGTTCGAAAACAACAACTGTGTCGAAGAAATTGGTATTTTTAAAAATTTTATAGCCAAACTTGCCAAATTCAAGTGCTTCTTTAATGCCAAATTCCCAAAATATTTGTGGACATTTGCCAACCTGGTAGTCTTGAAATTACAGGTGCAAACAATATTGGTTGTGTACATTTCCGCATTGTCAGCTGTTATTGATTAAATTTCAGGTTTATTGTAGATCATAGTTGGAAACATACAATACAAAATGTTTACAAAATCAACTTGATGACTTTTTCAATTGATCTGATATATTAATAGTATATTTGTCCAGACAGTGTATAAATTCAATTAGGTATCTCTTTGTTTTTGATACATAATACTTAATAATGTACATCCACTATTCCCAACGGAATAAAGTAAGCAATTAATTTCAGTTAGTTGTATTAGCTACTTTTTTCCATAGAGTTTAGAAGTTCAATAAAAGTTCAATCTTTTTTCGATTATAGCACTTTACAGTGACGTTTTTGGATAATAAGTAAGTATAAACCAACATATACATCTTTTTCTGACAAGGCTGGGTTGGATATCCAGATCGACCTAAATCCAATTAAAGGTTTATGATTCTGGTCAAAAAAAAGTTGGGAAGATGACCTCGTTCCGTCTCCTTACAGCCTTAATTAGTATTAAGATCGTCGTTTATTCTCGTGATAAATAAATGACTAACTAAATAGTAAATACATATAGGTATGAATACATTAATAAGGGACTGAGGTGTATACCAACGTAATTTAATTTCGCGTGTGAAAGTTTATTCACGTCGTGGAAGGACTAGGATATTATTTCTCATCCTTCCATGATTCACCAAGGGATTAAATGACATGGGTCTCGTGGTATATGTAATATGAATATGTTAGGTACCACTAATTTCCGAAATCCATTAATATGTATAATAACTAGACATATATTAGGAATTATGCATAACTACTAAACTTGCCAGTGATTATTATGTATAACAACTAAACAGATTAGAAACATTATGTGAAATCACCACAATTTTCAGTTATGCATGGTAATGTAAACATTCAGGTCATAATAATAATTAATATTATTATCATTATTATTGAGAACTGTTTCCAACGGGTAAAAAGAACCCAATTCCCTGACACAGAAGGCACTATCAAGAAAATTGGAAATTCTATATTTGGAATTTGCATATGTTATATAAGTTATAACATTCTCTGACATGGCGTTAAGGATACGTAAGTACAATTAAAAATATCGACATGATTTTCTATACCCATTGAGTTAGAAAGCATCTGCACAAGAGGAAAACCAGTTGCACTTGCCCTTCGTGCGATGGTGGTTTTTTTTTCACCTCATTAGTTTTGTTGACCTTTAGGGAGATATTGTCCAGGATAGTTGGACAATCTTGGGTTCTTCTGAGAATTTTAAATAACAGTATCACTGAATGCTCAAAACGCCGTTTCAATAAAGAAGTCATCTCAAATCTGTTTTAAGGGAGTAATTCTTGAGTGAATAAAAGTGATCTGTAATATAAAATACCTATCGTTTTCAAGAAACTTCGTTGCTTGCGCAAAGGCAACACCTAGATCACGTATTATTTCTGGTCTAGTTCGAATAGTGTTATCCAAATTGTAATTGAAAATAAAAGGTACCTACTTCTTTTTCTTCGCAAATTGAATTATTGCTAACAGAGGAACGTTCTCATGTAATACGTGCTCTCTCCCTCTACTGTGATATAGAACATGATGTTAAAAGGTTTTGTTTACCCAATTCATTGTGGGATTATGCCGCCGGGACACCGAGAAATTTCCCTAAACACTCTACTTCGGGGCCCCACATCTTACATTTCACATATTATACAGGATGTTACAATTATAAATACAATAAATTTTCCTAAACATTTAACAGACGCTTAAAAAATGTATCTATGGATAAATATTAACAAAAAATTTCATTTATACTAGCTTTGTTTTTCTTAGCAGCGTCGTCAAAAGTTCCGAAAACAACATCACTTTTACTTCCCGAGCGTAAGCTAAGGAAGTATAGTAATCGAGTCCATCGGGCGACTTGCCGTTTTCATGTTTTCGCATGTTTGATGCAGGGCGGCTGGTGTCGGGGGGCGCAAGGGCACATGCCCCCCCAAAATTACAACGTCTATAAACACACTGGACATAGCAACATAGTAAATTTCAATATTTAAAAAAAATTCTGGAAATTTGTGTCATAATATGTTATTTCTGATGAAATGCTGATAAAAGCCGGGAACAGAGAGCGAATCATGGCTGCTTTAGACGGTTTGTTTACACCGCCGCCATGGAAACCTCACGTCCTAGCCGCCTGATACACCTGGACTGCGGTCCCGTCCCGACAGTGCTCGGCAGGATTGAATTACTATCGCTTGTTTTAATTTTCATTCTGCGCGAACACGTATGATAAATATTCTTGGATGATCTTCTCGGTCATACCGACATTCGGAAACAACTACACACCGCTTTCGGCCAATTTTGTCTTAACGTTTTTTCTAAACATCTAAAAATTTGGTCGGATGGATGTCGCCTATCGGGATATCTTCTTTCGTAGAGATTTGCTGCTGCAAGGGAATTTTTTCCGCATTCTCCAAAAATCAAGATCATATCAACGTTTTCAGTGTTCGTGTTTTACCCTCATCTTATCGCGAAGACTAAAAACTTATCTGAGTCAAAATTGACAAATAGAATTATTGCGAAAGTCAAAATTAACTACTAGATAACTATGTTTGTACATTTTAGAAAAATAAATTATAAAAAGAGGTACATATGAGATATGTATTTTGTGTTGCATTGAAATTTGGTCAGGGTCCCGTTATTATAATACTCACCCTGTTATACCCCTAAACAGTACGAACACACTATCTTGATGAGAGGTTTGCAAATAAGTGGATTGGCAGAGGCAATGTGAATGCATACCCCCCTCGTATGCCGACTTAACACCTTTATAGATTTATTCCTCTGGGGGATTGTAAAAGGACAAGTTTACCAAAGTCCTATTCGTATAATTGTGAAGATTTAAAAAGCAGAACTAGAAATGCATGTGCTACAATAACTCCTGTATGGTGTACGAATCTGCTTTAAGTTTTTCCCTAAACCGCCAAATTTTCTCAACCAAATTATAACACAGTATAATAACATTTTACCTCTAACATAGGATGTAAATCTCAATGGAATCATGGCTTGTATATCAGCAAGAGGACCTGAGGATAGCACGTTGGAGTCAAATTTGGCCTTATCTTCTTTTCTTGCGCTGTGACTAGTAGTAAAAAACTCACTTAAAATAAACGCTTAACATGCTCCCTTTTGGCTCCATTGTAGCTTAATTAACGAAATTTGTCTCCTCCTTTCTTTTGAGGAGACAAAAAAAATTAAGTTTCATTTCCTGTTAACGTAGATACTTATCATCGAAACGCACCAACAGTAATGAAACACTGAGAAAACAGGTTTTTCCGTTGGATATTTGTTTGAAACGTATTACATTTTGTCGTCACTTATGGGGACTGCGCCCTGTTGTAATTTATTTAGAACTGGTTATGTAGGCATTGATTACAGGTGACTCAAAAAAATTAATGACTATGAGTCAGTTTGTTCCATTTATTAAATCAGAAACGGCTTACTCTTATTTTAAGAAAATATGTTTCTGGCATACTTTTTTGAAAACTCAAAAACGATTAAATCTTCCACGCTGCGGAAGACATACTCAATGTTGAAGACAATTCTAAAAATTGAAATAAATTTGGACATAAATAACAATTGCCCAAAGTTACTGACTTTTTTTAAAAAGAAAAAATGAACATAATAGTAAAATCTGAAGAAATAAAACATTTTGATTATGGAAGAAGTTGATTAGTTTTAACCAAAGATCTGATCCTGATGAAGATTTCTGTAAAAATGTAAATTTAAACGTGCACTTTTGTAAAAATAAATTTTTGTATCTTTTTTGAATATAGCAATCTGTGTATCATTTAATTTCTTCAGATTTTGTTCTGAAATTTAATCCATTTGAAACCAATGTTTCACTGCGATCCAAAAAAATAGAGATTAAAAATTGGTCTAAAGAGTTTAGACAGTACTTCCCTCGCTGTCGGAAACTTGACGACTGCATGGCTATTGTGTTTTTTTCTCATTACATTTTTGTAGTGGGAATTTAAAAAAAATTGCGATGACGTCATCAACATTTTTGCAAGGACACGTATATCAGTTGGGATAGATGTAGTGTAATACTAAGAATAAAATTATTGTATTCCGAAATTTTCGGGAAAATGAATTGGGTCGTTTTGAATATTGATTTTTTATAATCAATAAAATAACGAAACAATTTACTCACGTATACGGCAACTGAAAATCGTTTATGTATAAACATTCTTAATTTAAGATGACAAGCGTAACAGCATACGTGAGAGTCAAACAGAGAAACTGTAAACAAAACGACCATCGGTTTTATTGCTTCGACTTCCGCTTATTATATAAAACATTGGGTTTTATTTTAATTCTTGACGGTGAAATTCACAATTGGTTGATTATAAACATGTCTATTTCACATTCGCGGAACCAAGTGAGCGCATAA